GGTCTGCGCTGTCTCTGGTTTTGGCAATTTTGATGGCATAAGAAGCCATTGAATTGTGAATTTCCAACAAATGCTTCTCTAAACCATCAATTCGTGACTGAAGTAAACGAGTTTGTGATTCACTGTTCAATGTATTTCACAAACATTTCAATCATTATCTTTACTCTAAAATTATATATCTCGTAAAATTCGTGGTAAATAATAGTAATATTTATGTTATCAAATCTTATTGAAGTAAGAATATAATAAAGTAGTTGTAATTTAATAGTAAATTCATGATTTAATTCCAGCATTTCATTTTGCTTATGAATTATTAGTTAATGTTTTACTATAATTGTTAACATATTAATATAACTGCAAAGTTTAATAAGTTGTAAGTTGCTGCAACTTTGATAAAACATTGTTCTCATACTTTACGTTAACTATTGATATATTAATATTTGAAACCCAATGTTTAGTTATATTTTATAGATAACAATAATTTTAGCAAAAATTTATAGATTAGACTTAACTATATATTAAATGCTTATTATCGATATAATTAATGCAATGATTGCAATGAAGATTAGTTTCAGTACTTAAACTCATCTCATTTGCATGAATGGCTACTTAAAGCTACTTTGTTACATAGAAAATGTCATTTTCATTATTACATAATATGTTTCATATATCAAAATCTAGGACCAGACTTATATCCAGGCAAATGTTGATTCAATATAATTTAATTATAGAATGTTTAAAATTAAAATTAAATTACCTGTTATTCAACACATTTGGATTCATATTTGCAAATGATTTATAAATCAACGCAAAACTGTTTTATACTTTTTAGTGATATGTTTTGAATTTAGAGAACAATTACTATAGAAACCTAAACTCTATTGAAAATGCATTCATTACTAACAAATAGTTCTCAAAAATGAATATAAATATTGTTAACAACTTATTGTTATGATAACCACTAATACATTATACAATTTTTTGACACTAAATATGTTTATTTTAATTGTCCCGTCAATGAACTCAATTATATCCCTAAACATAAACATTGCATTCAATTATAAACCAAATTTCAAACTCTAAAACATAACACTTTTGTCGATAAAATAGAGGAATACTTTTAAGTGCTTTTTTAAAGAAACAAAAACCAAAAGTAATCCAAACTCTGTTGGAATCGTTTTTTGTTTATTTGTAAAACTTTCGTGTCTTTCAAATTCAAAGCTTTGCAAAACTTGTCTTTCATTTATTAATTACTAATCTCTTATAACGTGAACTGTTTTTTTTGCAAAGAAAAAAAGCAATGCGTTTAATGTTAATAATTGAAGAGATTATTGAAGATAATTATTAGACAAGAAAACATAAGCATAGACTGGGAAGACATGAGAAGGGGATTGAGTGTCACAACAAAATTGATGGTTTTGGGCGATAATTCAAGTGTTAGCCCAGAATCACGTCTAAAAATGTTTGCGTTTATCGCCAGCAGTACTGAAGTGAATGAATGGGAGTCTCGACTGAAGTTCGGACTACTCTTTGTCTTATAAGAAGCCAATCATATTATCGTCTAATACTGTATAACCACTTGTTTTTACAGTATATTCATGTAATTCAATGCAATACATGTATAACCAGAAAATACTGGGCTCTCGCGAAAGAAAGAAAGAGAGAAAGAGAGGGAGAGAGAGAGGGGGAGAGAGAGAGAAAGAAAGAAAGAAAGAAAGAAGTCAGACTTAACGGTGTATTCAACGAATTGTGTGCAAACCAAGACATGGATGACTGAGGATTGAAGAGAGAGAGAGAGGACCACTATTTGGTTATACACTATCGGTTGTAGACATTAAATAATAGTCTGAGAAGTGATTTTTGAAACTTAACTTTAATTTTTCAACATTTAATAACACAGAACTTACAAAAAATTTAAATTAAGTCCATTGAAACATAAGCAGTAATTATGCCTTAGATTATGAATTTATAATATATTTAATTACTTTAATAGTAATAAACCGTTACCTACAGTATAATAACATTTTTTTGTCCAACAGTTGAAATTTAAGGCAAATTTTGTGCTCAAACACTATATATATTTATATATTCAGGCATTAATTGTCATCTAAATTGATAATCGGAGCGATCGGACAACAGCTGACCATCAGATTAACACGTTTAATAAATAGAGAATACATTTAAGTTTGTTTTGTTTCAAAAAATAATGATTTAGTAGACTCTTGGATGCCGTACAAAGTGGTCAGTTGTTTGCAGATCAATGTTTATATCATAATTATATATTCCTTTTACCGAAATATCTTATTTATAAATTGTATTTGTTTTGTAACAAAATTATAACTTATTTTGTTTGAGCTTAAGATGTAATATAATTGTAATAATAATTAATAAAATAATAATATGTTCAAACATTTTATACAAAAATAGACAAATGAGATCCAACAGAGGGTTGCACTCAATTCAATGCTTAATTGTATAGAATTCTCAGTTCTTACAAGTTTTACAATTTTTAATTCAAATTCATTTCTATAGATTTAGCAGAAAATATAAAAAATAAATTTATATTTTTAAAAAATTAAAAGCAATAACTATTAAAAGCCTGATTAAAATTGGTCACCGATTTATCTAATTTTAAAATACAATAATAATTATGGCTAAAAATATTGCAAATAATGGTTTTTCTAACATAATATTATGTCAATAAATGAATTAATAATAAATGAATTAATGTTTAAACGATTGATTAATTATAAATACATTGAATATAATTATAAATGACATAAAACGTTAATATGAAGCAAAAATTGAGGCAAATATATGTTGATCTCATTCAATGATTATATGGATATAAATATAAAACTTATAATTGCTTTACAATAGTTTTACAACAGATTCATTAGTATTTAAATCGAAACATAAATGTCAAACACAATTGACTGATAAATAGTTTAGCCGTTAATAACCATTAAGACAGGAGAGGGAAAGAGAAATAACTGTTTTTGAAAGTTTGATATTTAGATATCACAGCTTTGGAGACAATCATATCTTAAGAACAATCAATTTTTTAAAGACCATAACATTTAAGTGTAACATAACATGTGTTTGTGGTCTTGTTATTAGAGTTTAAGTTATTCATCAAATTTAAGCACTAATTTAGAGCACATTTTCATTTTTGGAATGAAATCTCGAAAAATATTTTTTGTTTAAACAAACGGCGATTACTTTGAATGGATTAACAGTAGAGAGAAAAGTATAGATCTTTTAACAGATTTATAAATATGTAATGAAATGTTCATAAACTTAAACATTACAGTAATTCGAGAAAAATAGACATTCATTTAACTCATTGATTATGATATGATTAATAAATATATAGATTTAGGTTTTGGCTAAAATATATTCATAACATTTTTCCACTAAATATTATCTTAAAACCCATTATTGAAAACGTTTTGAAAGCATTTCTTTTGTATTAATACTAAGAATAACTCAAAAATTAATTATGAGATCAAAAAGAAATCTCATTTTATGAGGCGTTTAAAGGCTCTGACTCTATAGCATCAGAAGCTGAGTGTCTTCTGTTCCCACTGTTATCCTCTGTTTTGACGGTTTCTTCGTTAACGGATGAACTCATTGGCACTGAGTCTGAGATATCAGTTGTTTCCGACACTTTCATCACTTTCGATACATCGCTCTCAACGACATTCACTAAAAGCTCGTTTGGTTTCGGGTTGTGATCACTGTTGGCATCGCAGGCACTGCCAACTATAGGCGCTGTCACGGGTACTGCCGGTGCCGTACATTTCACTAGAGATAAAGGCGATTGTGAACGACTCGGGCTCTTCTGTCCGACTGATACTGGTTTACAACTGGACTTCTTTTGCAGCGACTTATCCGACACTGAATTCTTGGGACTTTTACTCGTCCGATGTGTTGTTGGATTGGTTGACACACTTCTTGGAGTCAATGAAACACAATTATCTCCAACTCTTAGTTTACGACATTTGAGACCATATCTAATGTGTGACCTTTCGGGTGAACAGGAAGACCATCCCTTATGAAAGACGAAGAATGGGTGTTCGACCGGTGCCTCCACATTGACGGGCACTTTGTCGCGGCCGACACTAAAGCTCAACAGAACAGAACAGCTCTTGATTTTCTCAACAATTTTGATCACTTCACTGCAATCGGCGCACAGATCCTGACTATCAGATGCGCTATCAATGAAGTCCTGAGTAGACATGTCTTCGACGCGCTTCACCTCTCCGTTTCCCAACTGAATGATTGATCCCTTTTGGAAATACATGGGATATTGGAGTCGATTCTGACGCTCCTGTTCTTCAATCGGCAAACAGTTCTCATTTGAGACGATATAATGCGATCCTTCCCTCTCCTCTCGAGAGTTCTCTTTAGCAGACAAAGTGGCGGAAAATGGTTTGTGAGATGAGGTCGATGTCTGTGGCACTGATTTTCTTCTTTGATGATAAAATGAAGTCATGTTTTGGCAGTTAATCTGATCGGCGATCGAGTCTTTCGCATAGCAATCGATGTCTGAATCGCTAATCCGTTTGAGAAAGTCTTGTCGCCGAACGCCGGGAATGGGAGGCGCAGAGAGTGGCGCCGATTGCACTGTCATCTGATCGGCTTTGATTGAGTCGAGGCTAATGTTAGGCGGCTTTAGTATCCGGTGTTTACGACTGCCTTCTTTACCGAAAGGGAGTTTATATAAGTTCTTCTCATTTGCGTTCAATTCAGGACTCGACGGAGATTTGCGTTTAATGCCCGACGAGATCATCGATGGATTCAACAACTCGTTTGCACCGCTTCTGGCGCTCAAATCTGTGTGCGATTCCAAGGATCGCATCATTGACTTAGTCTGAGGTTCAGCTGATTCTGAGCTGACGGTAGGGCTAGAGTATGGACCAGAACTTATCAGTGATGATGAATCTGATGAATGCTGTGATGGAGACCGGGAAGTGCTGGTAGTGAGAGATGTGGGCGCCATTGAGCACGGATTGGCAGACAGTATGGCATTGTGTGAGTTGTGGCCGTTCTGTGAGTGCGAGTTCTGGTGATAAGACGACTCCATAATACCCGTCGGATAGGTTTGTGATCGAGTGTTGGCGACACTCAACTGATTTGGCACTAGAAATGGTGAGATCGGGTTCTGAGCAGTTGTTGGACTAAATTGTTGGTAAGCGTTGAAATTTGACACAAAGGGACCGTTAAAGTGAGCATTTGATGGCACCGGACGCACGCCATTCATGGCATTGATTGGTCCGATCGGACTGTTGGTCGCCGGGTATGAGAAATATGTCGGAGAGCCTGAAGCGGCGAATCGGGGAGAGTATAGGCGCTGACTGTTAGCCATATCATTGTTGAGAGTCGTGTGATATAGACTGCGCTGAGACGGATGTGAAGACTGATGGCTGAGCGGTAACCCCAAGTGACCCGAAGTCGAGGGCGAAGACGGCACCGAAGGTCCTCGCGATGACATGTTTGCCGACTCTGTCAACCAATTGATGTCTGCAAACAAACACAACAACCATTTGGTCAGACAATTGCAATGCATTTCTCACTAATCGTTGAATACCTGAATGATTTCGCGTTGTATTCCTCTCGGATTCGGTGGCCATTGAGTTGGACAGAGAAGTACTGCAACTAATATCAGTGGTCGCAGTGGTTGTGACCGTAGACTCAGTTAAGTTCTTATCAGACCTTAAATCCTTGTTCGGGTGAATGAGAGCCGGAGTCGAGTCCTTGTATTTGTTGTCAATTTTGTTGACATTGTTGTTATTGTCGTTACAGTTGGATGTGATGTCTTTGTTATTTGTGGTCAGACTTAACGGTGTATTCAACGAATTGTGTGCAAACCAAGACATGGATGACTGAGGATTGAAGAAGTTTAGACCCGAAAGGATCAGAGGGTTGGGCGGAAAGGGAAACGCCGTATGACTTGACGGCGGATGAAGTGGTAGTGAAGACGACATCGAACCGAACAAATGAGATCCAAAGGGTTTGGAGGTTAGAGGGGAACAGTTGAACGATGGACTGCAAGAACTGACTATCGCTGGCATCGAGTGTTTACCTGAAGATGACATCAAGAGATTAATTGACAGCAAATGATGGCATGAAATGCAAAATATATTTCATTCATATAACAGATCAATGATTCATTCACTGAAAACCTCTTTGAATGGATTCACACATTTGTGACAACAAATGATTATCATATGAAATCAATTCAAATGTCTTTGCATTCAAATCAGTCACAGAATGGATCAAATGAATGGTAATTAGAGGATAATATGCAAATGCATACCATTATCGAGTGAACACATATTATTAGACATAACCACCGATGGATGGATGAGACGAGTGGTGATGGCTTTGAGGATCAATTGGTGGTGAAGTGAACACAAATGAATGCAAACTCAAGACAAACTCAATTGAAATGTTGTGTACTTTAGACTCAAACCATCGATAGATTAGATATCTCTGTGTTATGTCTTATAATTGGATGAATGGTTTGTTTATCATTGTCTTTGTCTCATCTCTTTGTGATGGAAGTGATGTGAGTCTTGAGCGCAACAGTGGATGCGATGGGAGTAATGGTATGGTTGCAGAGAAATACTGATAACTAGTTTGCAATCATTTTATACATAACTTTCACCAAAAAAGTTAACCAAAAAAAACTAAAGTAAAGGCAAAGGCAGTGAGTGTTGCAGTCATTCAGAGCATTGATAGTCAGGTAATGCTTTGCTAACGCTTTCAGTAGTGGTTATAGCAGTTGTACACCAGTTGTACAGCAATACAGCAGCTCTACAGCCAGTGTTACCAACGCTATACTCAATGAATGCCAGTCTCGGAGCCCCGGAGCTCACACTGTAGTCACTGTAGTCGTAGAGCTGTATATGAATGCAGTGAATGGCAGTCACAGGCAATGGTATGGCATTATATGAGTGGTTGGCTGAGAGCGCATACATATCAGGGATGTTTTGCCATCAGCTCTGGCCTTGAATTGACTTTTGACCGAAAAATGCCGGGCATAGCAGTGGCGGAACCGCTCATCCCTACCACTCATACCAACCACTGGTCTCTTTGATTGTGATTCCATTGAATTGAAATGCATTTTTGGGTTCAATACTTTACACCATTGATTAAATAGTTGCTATTTTATTAATTGAATGAAATGTTGATTGCATTGATTAGTGGCTGTAAGGGCTCAGCTCCCCATCACTTTGCTCTCATCCTAACGTTTCCTCCCTTTGAGCAAAGTTTTGGTGCTTTGAAAAGCAGTGTTGAGTGTAATGTAATATATAAATGGTTTGGTATGTGTTATGTATGGCAGTGTGTGTCGAGACTTGCATTGAAGGGAAAGCCAAATATTTCCAGTTTGTCAGCCTTTGCCACACAATTCACAAAAAACACTTTCCTATGAATCGCTTTGTAGTGAAACACATGAACACCAATACAATTGGCAATACTATACATGTAGTGTTTGTATTGCTTTCTCTCGTGTAAAACAAACGCATATAGAAAGCCATATAAATGTTTAAGTCTATTAAGATTGGCAGTCATTGTCTGATTATACGATTGATGCATATTTGAAGTCAATATTTAGTTTGTTTTTAGAGATTAGTTGCAGAATTTTGGCACACATTTCACTCTACTATCAAACACTTGTCATCAGACAAAGAGTGAGAGAATCTGTTTCTCATTTGTCTAATCATTCCTTTTTGTCAAAACATTTTGCAAAATAATTTTCATTCAGAAAATAATTTAAACAATAATTGTTTAATTCATGATTTATCTGAAAATGCATTCATTCAATGCATACTATCTGTTGGCTAACACTTAAAGCAATTTCCTAATAGATTTATCAGTAATTAAGCAATGATTAGAGTTTTACTAAAATGTTTGTATTTGTGTTTTCAACACTTTTAACATTTATGGTTTACTTTAGATTTAGTCAAAGAATGATTGCCTGCTATACTATACTTAAAAGCTTTTTAGCCATTGACTCTTCAGTGATAGACTATTATCGAAATGGTAGCAAATGTTGCCTTTTATTAATGATTAGAACTAGGAATTGGTTAAAATGATTAAACGTCTCAAAAGAATCCACTTTCAAGTCATACAAACAAATGTCAATACAATTTAGGATTATTTCACAGACTTTCCATCTGTAATGTAATGTAGGAAAACAGGATAAGGCTTGCAATAAGACTCGCAATAAGACTTGGTTTCAGTGTTTTTCATAAAAACAAAGACAAATCTCTGTTTCATTCATTCATAACAAGTAAAGTAACGCTTCGTTCTTCACATTTTCCATCTGTTAGTCCTCTTAAGACAGTAATCACTGTTTCGCTCACAACAGTCTCTTTGCATTAAAACTTACAATTTAGCCATAAATACAGTATTTTTCCTACAATTAACTACTATATTGATCAAAACACATGATAAAAGTGCAACACTTAAGTTACTTCGTTAGTGCATATTCTATACATTGAAACAAATAATTCCTTATATCCGTCAAAAAAACGATAGAATTATATAATATTTCAGATACACTCCACAACTTGTGCCCACCTCTGCTACTAAACGTTTGTCAATTTTAAGTAAAACATGTTTAGTAATAATATTTATATTTTCTTCAAAGTATATCCATTAGAAAGAAGTAATATCTAAATGAATAGACGATTGGCTGGCATTCATGCTATTCTTGATATATCAATAAATTACACATATATCACATGATTATGCAATTTGTCGCAAATGAATGCAAAAAGTGCTCAATAATAATGTCAAATGTGTTTTATTTTCATATCAGAGATAAAAAGATTTTTGCAATCTATGTCTGACAGAGTAATACATGTATGCATTATATGTGAATGTCTTAAGTAAACGGTTCCAACAAATTGCTAATTCTGAGAATCGGTAATCAAATAGCATTTTATAATAAATGTGATAATTTATGACAACCGATGTTATGTTTGCCATCAATTCAATAGGAATTTATAAACTGAAAACTTATTTATATTGCATTTACTGTATTGTACGAAATGCGTGTATAATATGTAACATTATTACTAGAATTTTGCAATAATTATGGCACACAATAATTCATATGATTTGTGAAAAATAAACCATTCATTAGAATTGGTTGTCTAAGAAGAAGATATAATACATTAAGAAAATGTTGCCAATCATTAAAGAAGGCATTTCGTTGAACTGATTTTCTTAAATTATTGCTAGAGCACAGATTATTCGGGACTAAAAACAACCAAATTCGGTCGGGAACCGGATGTAAAACAGTCAAATTCGGGTATTAACGTTTATTCAGTTCAAACACGATTATAATTATAGATTTAAATCATTTTAAAATGTATTATAGTAGAATAACATAGAAATTTAAGTTTTATTCTTTAAGCCTGTCTTCTATTTGTAAGAATATTCTTAAAATAAGGGAGAAAACATTCAACATCGTCAAACTTACTTTGTACATATTTTGTTATACATGTTATCTCAAAATTTTCTGGATTTTTATAATAATACTTTTACAGTAGTTTTTCTTGAAAAGTGCGCGTTTTAGCCTATTTTGAAAAAACGGGATTTTTTTTTCTAAAATATGTCAAAATCGGGAATATTCTCAAAAGATGTCAAAATCTGGAGTATTCGGGAGAATAAAATGGTATATTTTTACTCCATTATAACTTCCAAAACGTTCTGTTTTGATGTTATTCGAAAACATTCTGTTAACTAATTTTAACACACAATAATTCATATGATTTGTGAAAAATAAACCATTCATTAGAATTGGTTGTCTAAGAAGAAGATATAATACATTAAGAAAATGTTGCCAATCATTAAAGAAGGCATTTCGTTGAACTGATTTTTCTTAAATTATTGCTAGAGCACAGATTATTCGGGACTAAAAACAACCAAATTCGGTCGGGAACCGGATGTAAAACAGTCAAATTCGGGAATTAACGTTTATTCAGTTTAAACACAATTATAATTATAGATTTAAATCATTTTAAAATTATTATACATAGAAATTTAAGTTTTATTCTTTAAGCCTGTCTTCTATTTGTAAGAATATTCTTAAAATAAGGGAGAAAACATTCAACATCGTCAAACTTACTTTGTACATATTTTGTTAGACATGTTATTTCAAAATTTTCTGGATTTTTATAATAATACTTTTACAGTAGTTTTTTTTAAAGTGCGCGTTTTAGCCTATTTTGAAAAAACGGGATTTTTTTTCTAAAATATGTCAAAATCGTGAATATTCTCAAAAGATGTCAAAATCTGGAGTATTCGGGAGAATAAAATGGTATATTTTTACTCCATTATAACTTCCAAAACGTTCTGTTTTGATGTTATTCGAAAACATTCTGTTAACTAATTTTATTCAGGAATTCCCGAAGAATCTCTGCTCTAAATTATTGCTTATTTAATGTATTCACTAAAGAAATCACTTTTGAAACATATTAATTAAGTATAAATCACAGAATATTTGGTCTGAAAATTTCACAATTATTATTTGAAATTTTCTCTCTTTTTTGTGTAGAATAGAGTATATTATTCTATACAGTAATTCATTATATCAATCATACGTTGAATTTCACATTATTTACAATAATTGTATCTTTACAAAATAATTATTATTTTATATTCTGAAACCATATCTCTAATAATTACCGTAAAATTCTGCTTATAGTCCGCACCATTTGTAGATATTTTTAATAAAAGAGCTTCCAATGGATAACTCACACCCGTGTATAAAATAGTTTGAAACCTATATTCTTAGCCAATATCAAGAAGATCCTAAATATTGCAAAAATGTTCCCATTAGCCAACAGACAACACGCGGTTAATCAACGGCATTTTACGGTAAGTGAGTAATTTTAGTGTCCAAACGTGAGTTATATAAATTGAATTCACCATAAATTGAATACAAATTGTTAAACAAACAGAAGATAAATGAATGAAAATAGAGTATAATTACAATTCATCGAAAATGAATTTCTTGGTTCAACCAAACAATTACATCTAAATATAGAGAAAGTTGAATGCATTTAAAGCTATGTAAATATTAGCTGAATTGAAAGCATTTCGCTTTTGACACATTCAACTCATCCATACATCCAACAATAGCGCAGCTCTGGTACAGGTCTGCAAAGATTGGGGAACTGGTATATCGCAGGTGTCCTCTACTCTACAGGTATTGCAAATCTAATCGAAAGCTGTCTTTGACTTTCATTTTGACTTTTTCTTTGCACAACAACTATAGCCTAATGTATGGCCTAATCATCATTTTTCTTATACTCTATTACTTTTCTGTCTCTAATATATCGAAACCGTTTGCAACACTAATTGATGGCATTTACTGTTATGTCTTCACTTTCTATTCATATTTCACAACATTTTCTTAATTTGTATCCAATTTTGTAATTATTATGCATTAAAAAATCAAATCTAGTATTTCAGTGCATCACTCGTTTATGTGATCATACATTACATTCAATTCATTGTTTATAACTTTTGTTAAATTTATAACATTTCAATGAATATAGAGTTTCAATAATTAATCTCATTGTTGAATATTTTTATATT